TTATGAAGCAATGGAGTAATGCTAGAAGAGTGGCTCTCAGAATTGTGTTTTAGGAAGTATTTTTGGAAAATAAATCCATTTGAAAGGTTTCTAAATGAAACAGGATTTCGATGATAGCCAGTGTTCGACAGCACATATGTACTTGATTGCATACATACGGACGAAAGAAAAATCCATCATTACATTTCAACTCACTCTGCATTACACAACTAGAGAACAAAAATACAACTGAACACAGTTTAATATATATAACAAGAAAAAAACTATATCAGTACAATTACCGCAACACAAACAAAAAAAAAAGAACTTGTTTTCTTGAGCATGACTTAATGGAAATATATTAAATAAACTACACAGTATCGACCTCAAATGGTAACAAGTAATGTAGCACAATCGGGGTGCGCATCTTGTAGTAATTAGCAGTGCCGTGGGATGCAATCGTGGTCCTTGTTTCGACCCGGCCTCAATCCAACCTAAGTCCTCATACTGCCGTGATCGGCAAGTTGATAGGACGTTAGTCCGAGAAAAGTCTCCTCAGATTAAAAAAGCCGACAATTATCTGTAATGAAGGCTTAGGAGAAATTCAACTGAGAGTCGCAAGATTTAAGACAAAACAATGCTAACCAATCCCTGGGGATGCGCCATGCATTCGACTTCATTAAGTATCGTTGGAGGTGATTTAATGCATATATAGCCTTTACAAAGACTCGCGGTGGCCTACCAATGTATCGAGCCAGTGCTGCTAGTCTCCCAGACAAGTCTCATACCAATTTATCGACCCCGGAGGGATTGAAGGCTTGGTGAGCCGTGGGCGCGGGGATAAATTCCACGCGTGTCGCAGTGGCGCCTCCAACCACTGCGCCACACGCGCCCTGTTCAACATTCAACAATATTCACTAGAAGGCAAAATCCTAGATTTCAAATGCACTCATGCTGGAATCCGAGCACTTTTGTAAATAATAAGTGTAATACTGCGAAATAGACAGAAGAAGCACTCGAATCAGTAAAACACGTGGCGCGGATCACATGAGAAAACAGGAACGGTGCGAACTCCTTTGCTCACAGTTCAAAATATTCATAAATACGTGACATACGTAGTGGATACCTCATAGAAAGCGGCTCTGAAGAAGGCGAAATCCGCCGAAACGTCAGCTTAATCGTGAACAAAGAATAGTAACACCTCGCGTTTGCTCAACAAAAATACAAACAAAGTCAAAATATTCTTTTTTTCTCATTGCAAACACTTAGCGAGCCATGGGATTCCTGTCAAGTCACAGAACTGACCCTACATGATATGCTTTTGCATAAATAACAATAACATTATGTTCAATACAACAGAGCTTGCCAGACTTTCTACGAAATGTATAAATGAGTAAAAAATCATTCAGTCATCAATACTGTAGCGATATAATAAGAAGCTTGTTCTAAGAGTAGTCTAAAAATAGCACCAGCAAAGATGATTTGGTTCTAAGTCCACATACGCCATTAATACAACTCAAAAAAAAACAACTTACACTAGCAACTACAGACATTCCGCGTTCGTTTGTAGTATTATTTAATTTCTGTATTTTATGTTGTAAACCTATTTAAAATCAACCACCCAGTATTTTAAAGGGGAGGGCAGTGTTACAGTAGAATTTTAGTTGGTTAACAAATATAGCAAGGATTTTGAAGGTCCATAATGAAAACTGCCATAACGAAATAGACTATTTCTGTGTACAACGGTTGGTTTGGCTAACCGATATCGCCGTTGTTAAAAATTTCAAACATCTGGTCAGCAAACTACTAGAGTCGAACACATTTAGAGAACTTATTGCCATTCTTTGTCAACGAACAGGTTAGGCTTTTTTCACATGTATCTTATCAGAATATAAATTTCAAAAACCCGAAAAGATTGTGTTATAGCACAAAAAGTGCACGGCAACTACACGGCATTGCCCAATCTGCCTCTTGCAGGACTCCTACAAACCCTTTTTTAGTCATCTTCAGCAGCCACAGATAGCAAAAACAATAGATAAAGGACATCCAGGCAAGCAGGCAAAAAAGTGCCACATTTATGCCACATTGACGAATTGAGCCTACGAAAAGAATATCTGCAATTACTCCAGAAATATGTATCTGAGTTGAAAAGGTAAAATGTATTACTTCGCACCAAAGTTCAATAGACAGAGATGAGAGATTTGATGAGGTTAAAAAGCATCAAAGATGCACTGAAAGATACATACTGAAAGATACATGAACAAGATAAGGAACACCCGCCTTAACGCACGCATTGAAAACCTAAACGCTGTCTGATCAGGATGAAAAATCATTCAGCATTCTGGAACGAGATGCCTATAGAAAGCTAGTAACAACCTAAACTGAATATGTGGAAAAGGAAATCCGAAGTTCCGAACTACGCCAACGATCAGAAATGCGGGACGATACAGAATAATCAGAAATATCGAGAATCAGAAGCGCGCTTTGATGAACAATAAGTGTTAGCGATTTCGACGATGAACATGGAGACATCCTGTTGCTATTGACGACGATGAATTGAAGGTTTTAGTGAAAGCAAACACACGCAAAATGTTCGAGAACCCGCAAAGGAACGCGGTGTAAGCCTCTCAACTGTAATTTTCGAGATTAGTAAGCTAAAACGAGGCTGTTGTAAAAGTTTTATTCAGGTAACGTTTTACTGTATCCACCTTCATCAGAGCAGAAACGTTTTGAGCTGATCGTCCACAATTGTTCGTCGTGTGTTCGTATTCGCACTAAGACGTATCTTCTTGACTGGAACAGAACTCGACGGATGTTCCCTCACACGGCGGTGCAATTTTGTACAAAATTTATTGTCATCTCTAAGACTGGCAGGATGCATTGCCACTATGAAAACAGATCAAAATAGATGGCCAAACGGCACACTACTGATTCTACAAATGTTGAACGAGCATTACTACGAAAGCCTGCTCAATCCACCATACCCCCCAGACGTCCTGCCCAGCGACTGTAACTTCCTCAAGCATTTCGACGACTTCCTGTACCAGAAATGCTTCAGAAACGAAGCAAAGTCGAAACTGTTTTAAAAGACTTTACCGCTTCCAGAACTTCGAAGTTTTATAGAATCAGAATAAACAAACTTCATACTCGTTGGCAAAAATGTTGTGATTCTACCACTTTTTAATTCGATCAATAAGGTTTGTTGTGGGCTGGGATATGTTACATTAAAGACAAGTTGAAAATCCTGCATTAATTCCTAAAACAACCCGAGCAAATACTTGGTACCCTCGCCAGAGATCAGGGATACCTATTATCCACCTTCATCAATAGCAGACTCTCTAGCAAGACATAGAAACTCATCCGAAGAACAGTTTTGGCATATTATCAAGTATAAAACAAAGTCATTCTTGGACCACGCTCCTCAAAATACCTATAGTATTGAGGCTAACACTTGAATACAAAAGAAAAATATGACAATAGAAATAGACGGCAAAGAAAAGAACCGGAAATGAAGTGCATTGAAATGAATGCACACCGCCGCGTTTGTGCACTCAAGGTGTAAATCACCTCATAAATATGAATACATCATCATATTACATAAAAATAATGACATAAAATCCTGAGAGCAACGTTACAGTTGTATGTTCACTTCAGAAACCAGCAGTTCTCATTGTTCGTCAAAAAGGATCAATGATTTAGGGAAACATATGGAAAACGACACGTACATCAGGGTTAATCCAGTCCACGAACATTTGAAAGCTAAAAGATGAAATATGAAAGGGTCATAAGCTCATGTTGTTTGTCAGAAGGGATGAAGAGTACATAAGTAGGGGCGCACGAGCTCGCGCACGAGAACGTAGGCTGTATTGGGCAACGCTGTGCTGGTGTGAGGCCGCCGCGTGCCTGTCGTGTCTGTCGTCTGGCCCGCCCCTCCTCCCCCACCCCGCGCACTGTTCGGACCTCGACCACCGTTGGTTGACCTCCTCCGCACGCAGCGCGCCGTCGACACGACATTGTTCTAACGCCCTGCAAAAAAAAAAAACAAAAACGAACTGGTTACTGAACTTCCATTAATAGGTTAACTGTCCAGCAGTTCATTCTATGTGTCTATACCTAACATATCTGCCATTCACGTCAACCAGTTCGCTGCTTCAGCGCTGCTGTTCTTCTTAGTCGACTCACTTTTCACTAAACTTCTGCTGTTCATTTTAGCTCCTAGCGCGTCATATCTGTTCTACAACCTTTTTGAAATTTAAAACTCAATATAGGAGTTATGTATTACTCCCATACACATATTCGTATAGCCTTGTGTCTGTATGAATGGGTATATGGGTTTGAAAGAACTTGAAGAGCTAAAAATTCATGGGATTTTCTCTTCGATGGAGTACACCTCACTTTATAGGACGGTTCGAAGTTGTTTGAATCACTTAAATATCAGCTGATTTCCATGTTTGTGAAGTTTAAAAAAGGTATTCGTGGTGAAAGTGAAGTGGGCGCAGAACAACACCAGGACATAACGAGGAACAAGTTTACATAGAAAACAGTAATGAACATCAAGTTCACATCCGGTTCCTCTGCTACTTGTTATTTCTATATTTTAATTTTAGCGCAGTTATCGATTTTTCACTAAGAAAATGGTTGGATAATTCTATTTTCATGGCAAACATTTTGTTACAGGACTATTCTTGGTTTTCTCTGTCTCCGAGAAGCTAGTCAAAGAAAGTTCAGAGTGGACATTGTTGTGCTTGCTTGTGACAGTTGTCGTAATGCTCGAGGAGTGTTATCGATTGTTTTCTTTTCACTTTTCCACGAATTGTACAGCTCACTTTAGCCGGATGTCCATCAGATATTGTGGCATCTTTCTAGTCTATAACGTTTTCTAGTTGTTTTTGGTTGGTGATCTTCGAACGGATTGCATGAGAAAGCAAAGCGTTGTTCCTATTCCTTAACTGTCTCTTATCATACCCGTTTAAAGTCGTTTTTCAATGATGAATTTGATCGAAACTCTTCAAATTTTCAGAATGGATACTTCCAACGTAGTCATGTCTCCGACAGGTAGATGGTCTTCATCAAAATCCTCATTTGCTGTGTACACTGTGGAAGCATTCTGTTTTGAGATACCCCTTATCTGTTTGTTTTTCCCTTGATAGATTTATCTTTTCTGTTTAGCACATCCATCAAGCGTAGAGATTGTACAGTGTGCAGACTGTAGCGCCGACGATCCTCAGTGGGCTTCTATCAATCGTGGTGTCTTGATTTGCACGGATTGTTGTTCTGTTCATAGAAATCTAGGTGAGTTAACCTTATTGTGATTTATCTTTGTGCTTTTAAGAATATATTTGTAGGTAGACAATATTCCCATGTACGGTCACTCAACCGAGGAATGTGGGACACGCCACAATTGGAACTCGTCAAACTGCTTCACAAGTGGTTCTTTCATTTTTTCCTCTGTAACTTGAACGATATCTGGATTTTTCCACTCGAAAAAGTTTCATCAGGCTTCAGAACTGGCTCTAATCGAGTATGGGAACATACGATGTTGGATCCATCTTCATCTTCAAAGTTCAGAAGGAAGCCGTTGCCAAAGTAAGAGGTTTTAAAGAATACTGTTAAGTTGAAGTTTTGCTAGAAGATGTCATGTCGTTTGCATGCAGCTTATAATGCATGTTCGCTGCAGTTGTTTTTGGCCAGATATAAAATTTTCCCAATTCTTTGCTACTGAAACGATCACTTGTTGAATTTTCTTGCTTTTCCCCAACCACTCAGCAGTGTTCAATAGTCGTTGGTGCATACGAAGTCAGAGCGATCTCAACTAGTGTTTGACTTCACTGTAGTTAATGCAGGCTACTCTCAAGCTTAAAAAACAAAGTAATAAAACAAAAGTTTTGAAACCGACCGTCGTTTAACCTCGGCAGTGAAATAACCACCGACTCGGATCATCGGTTCTGATGAAGACGAAGAGCTCGAAACGTTAGCCGAATAAACACCTATGTTAACATCGAGTAGGCACAACGTAGTAAATTTGGAGCGTCATGCTAGTGCATTTTAATCCAGTTTTATCCATTTCCAGTGATCCAGTGCTTCCAACTAAAGAAGTCTTTATCAAGGCTAAATATGTTGATCATTTGTTCATTCGGAAGCCAAGTAAGGATGGTGAACCGTGGAGCTCAGATGATGTTAATAAACAGCTGTGGTCATGTGTTCGGACGGCACATGTCGACACCACATTGAGGTTAGGTCTTCAGGGAAATTTTTTGCAGCAAAAAGCTTTTGGTTCTACTATATGATTGCGGTACATTACTTGTGAAAAGTTCTTAATCTTGCAGACTTCTGGCAATGGGAGCTGATGTGAATTACGTCGATTCTGAAAAAGGGAATAGTCCACTTCACGTTGCTGCAAAAGAAGGGCAAGCAATGCAGGTCTGTGTTTTCAAATGATTCTATTCCAATTTTTCATGTTAATTTGCTGTATAGACTGAACTTTTCGAAATTTGCTTCGATATTCTTTCTCTGCGGAAAGAGCATGTTTTCATATTTTTATGAACAATAATGGTGTAATGGGAAATAAACATACCAACTGTTTACCGCCTCGTCGTGGCTTGGAGGTGTTCCTAGGTGTCGGGCTACGATGTGCAACAGGGGGATTCACTCCCTCAGTAAGGCCTCCCTAGCTGAGTAGGAGTCCAGGGTTTCGATCAGGGAGGCCGGCTAGGGGTAAACCAGAGTGAAGACGTACCACCGTCCTGTATCTAACTAGCCAAATTGTGGCAAATGTCCCTCTGATGCACAAGGGTTGCGACTGTCTGTGGTGATAACGACCTGGGGCAACCTTTGGCCTGGCTGACCTCGGGACTGCAGGAAACCACAATAACTAAACTAACAAATCTCCGGAGAATGGGAATCATGCTGGGGCCCGCACAACAATGAAGATGGGCCATCCAAATATCCAAGTAATGGCAAATAAAACGGCTCTATTTGTCACGTATATAAGCATTGACCGTTTTTTCCTTTGTTCTTTGTACAGTTTCTTACACGACCCGTCATCACATCCGCTGTGTAGATCCCAGCACTTCTTGAATTTGATTCGTTTTTCATCACAATCGCCGTTCTCCAATGTCTTCGAAGATCTCACGAGTTCTTTCGGCTACTGCTTTTGGATGTCGTCTCTTTACGAATGTCGTGGAATGCTGATCGAGTCAATTCTGCTTGCAACCACAGAGATAACCGAACTAAAGTTTTCCCACATAGATTTTAAGAGAGCAGTGGGGAGTCGAACCAGCACCTTTATTCGTTATAGACTGCACCACTAGCCACTCTGCTGACCTCACTTAGATGTTTGAAGTAATGGAGATTGTAACGCTTAAACCTGACGAAATATTTGCAATATTTCCGGTCTTTTATATATACTAAGACCGATTTGATTTAATGATTTCGAAGTGTTTGGAACAGATTTTGATTAAGGTTGAACTACTGCACATCTATGGTGCTGATCCACTGCTCTGCAATGCTGCTGAATTAACTCCGGCTCAACTTGCTCAACAGGAGGGATTTGTTAGTCACATAAGAAGCTCAATCTTTGCTTCGTCTTTGTTGCAATTAATCTTAACTAAATGAATTTTTTAAATATTTATGCAACTATGATTAATTTCAGACAGACCTTGCTAATCGATTAGATGAATTGTCTTTTGATTTAACTAATCGGTTGTCCTTATTTCTTTGTGGACGAAAACCTGATCATCAGGCTGGTTTAATTTTCTAAGGCCTTGTTTATTTGTCGAAATGATTCGTTTTCTTTAAGCATCAGCAACATTTCCTCATACCTGAGCTCACTGCAAAGAACTCCGTTGAAACATTGCGATCAGTTCGGTTTAAAGTTCAAGCACTTCCGGACTTTGTTTTTGAGAAGCTTCTGCAAGATGTATACGACGAGGTAAGTTTATTAAATGAATATCTACTTAATGGTTTTCTAAGATTTTTGTTTGACGTTTTCTTATAAGTTTTTCTGTGGATGAGAGAACCGTCCTTTTATCCTGATAATAATTTTAAAATCATTTAGTCTTTCTCATTGTTTTTTCTATTGGCAACCGAAATTTTCTATTCAGTCCAATGAATGCCATAGGGTGGGCGCAAGTTGGCTAGGGTTATCGCCGTATTTTTTTTTTAAGATATCGTTTTCACAGGCATAGACATTTCCTTAAACGAAAGTGTTTCCTCATTTATCCTTTTCAATATAATTTATATTAACAGTGTGGTGATTGTGACAGCTTAGGGGATCATTTAACTCCCCGGAAAGGTTAGGAGTTGATTCTTGTGTTGTGCATCATTGTAAAACAGCTACGTAACATTGAAATAATTCTTCAGAAGACTATTGCACTAGCAATATATTGTTGCGTGCTTTAACAGTTGTTTATTTTTCCGTTGATTTTAGTTGTAATAGGTTGATCGTCGAGAAACCCAAGCCGCGTGGATGGCCATGAATCAAGGAAAGATCACTTCAGGAAATGAACATTGTGTAGCTGTTTTTTTACCAGTAGGTTTTTTTCGCTGCAGTAGTATTACTGATCAAATCGTTGTTTTCACTTTTTACTTATGGTCGTTGATGTCTTTCAGAAGACCGTATTTGACAGCATGTTTCATTTTATGTTTACCAGTTTCTGATTACATTTGGTCTTCACAAGTTTAACCTTTGTAATTATCTTGCAAGAGTAGTATCACTGGTTACTAAACTTCATACGGCTAGAGTGCTGTACTATTCAGCTATAAGATCTCCCTTCAGTACTATTATGTGTTGTTTGATACAGGATATAATCGTGAAATGATTCAGCTGAATCCTTCATTCTCAGCAACGAGAAATCAGTTACGGCAAAAACTTGCAAAGTTCGACGTTCGGGAATTTGCGACTCTCATAATTGATGTACTTAAGGTAAGTGCCCAACTATTTCATAAAGGTACGACAAACGTTCCATGGCAATTTGTTTTTGATTTCTACTTTACTATAACGATTTCACTTGAGATTGGATGTCTGCTGTGTTAAATTCTCATGAAAGGTCATTTGAAAATTGACATTTAATGTCCGGTTCTTCCCAACACAAAAAGCAATTCCAGATTTCTGGAAATAACGCATTGTAACACTACTTTTTCTTCGATTTATGTAACATGCTTCCAAATTTTGCTTTTTTGAATATTATTGTGCTAACATTACTGCAATGAATTCAAAGCCGTTCATATAGTTGTTATTCTGAGATCTTCTTCAAACCTTCTAAAACCTAAAAAGGAAGAAAAACCCAAACCTTTTTTTAAATGAAAGAAAGCATGCTCCCACATTTGCAGGAAAACGATTACAAGGTTTTTAGGAACCTTGTACAAGCTTTTACACTTTTCAAAATTCGAATGACGTTTCTGTTCACGCCTAGATTTATGGAGAATATTGACAATATTATCCTGACAGATGTTCGTTTTGTTTCTATGAGATTTTGTCCAACATAACCACACCTGGTTCACAGTTGTGACGTTGTTCTTTGTGTTAGCCGTGCCTGCGCTAACTTTGGGAATTTTAGTTCTGTCTTCGCCTTTTTTTTTCGGGAATGTTAAGTTTGAGAAAGTTAGTAAGTCGCAATAGTGCAAAGCTTCTTCTCTATGTTGATTACGTTACGAACTTCTCAGGTGCTTCATTTATCGAGAAATGATAGGCAGTTGTCGGAAAGTAAGCATCGAACGTCATAGTTTTAAGGGCGTGATTTTCTCTAGTGTCATTACTGGAGGCGATATCAGTTTCTTATTTTTTCTAACGTCAATCTTTGACTACCTTTTTATTCTAAATGTTTGACTTTTGCTCACTGCTTATTTTTTATAGCAGGGCATGATGTTAAATACAACTACAAGGATGCTAAGGTGTGAGCACAACTCGGAACCTCTGTGCTACGAGCCTGCGATTCCTTTTCTGGGGCTCACGTGTTATCCACTGCACTTCCGAGGCCGTTGCTTTCGCCCAATCTGTTAGCGGATTTTTTTCCGAAGTAGCGCTAACAGCATTTATCCATCAATGGTCTTGAGAGCATAAATCGGCGCTGAACCTAGTTGAGATGAAGATGCAGTTAATATCACAATGTCTGACTTTTTATTTACTCACTTTTCTCTTTCCCATGGCAGGTTATTATGTGGAATACAACCCCAGGGACCTTCGGCAAGGGTACTTGCAAGTTTGAAGCGCATCTGAGATTTGGAGTTTTGCTCGTATCTCAGCATCCTTCTGGTTACCATTATTTTTTCTCCCTTTTCCTTCTAATCCGCAGTGAAAAACTAGAAATCATCAGGTTGGCAGTATAGTTCTGCACAAAATCTCGAAAGTTTACAGCCTTTCCACGTTTGACTTTTTTCATTCAGATTTTGGTTTTGTATGGTACAACCGCAAATTTCAGTGGCTAAAAATCAACTTTCATCAAGATTTCTTTGCCTTTTTCGCACTGGATCTTTTGATGACTTTGAATTTTTTTATACCTGGGCCCACTTATCTGTATCACCTGTAGATCGTTGAATGGCACGAGTGGGAACTAGCGGGGATATAGGTTGTCCTTATTGTGTGGAGGAGTGAGATATTGGGTTCTGTTCTCTCTATGGAGCCTCAGAACATGATGACCATTTCCTAGAATGTTTATGAATGTTGACCATGAAGTCAGTAGTCTTCTTGCTATGCACTAGACATTCCGTGGAATCTAGTTCTTAAGGGCTCTTGTCAATCGGTTAGACGCACAACACTTCCGTCCTCTTTTCAGTATTTTGACGTTCATAACGGCACCTCTAATCCTTGGTTTTTAACGTGGACGTGAACTTCTGATTCTCTTCTTCACCTAAATGTTGATTACTCCTAGCGTCACCCGCTCGATATCGCGTTTTAAAGAGTTCTTTCGTTTAGCTTAAATGTAACCAGGTTTCTGAAGTGTAAGTTAAGAGGAATCTTTGGAGTTGGAAGAATGGACACGGAACCAATTTTTTTGTCCTCTTCACCACGTTTTAGATGCTATTGAAAGCTGTCCAATGCGCTGGTTTCCTACTGCTGAAATCTAAAGCTAATTCATTCATCCTGTTGACTTTCCGCTCTAGACAGGAATAATCGCAGAATCAGAAACAAATCCTTTCCTCACGAAGATGGTCTTTCATAGATTTACTGGAAGGTCAATTTTTTCACATACGTTGTAGAAGCCCGCCAGTATTCGTTCTTTTTTTTGTTATGCTTGATGTTACAAGAACAATCTTATCAGCAGAGTACAGGTGGCATAGTATCCTGCCATCGATTTTACTTCCATCTTATCCCTTTCCAGTTTTAACACAAAATTCTCGAAGGTGGCTGCAAATAAATTTGACAAGATTGTTTCACTTTGTCGAGTTCCTCTTGAAACGATATAGCTATTCTCAACTTCATACCAAACAAGTGTACATGGTTGTTGAAGAAATCAGGATAGAAGTTGGTAGTGATTTTCTCCATCGCTGTTCTGGAAACCTTTACTGTTACGTTTGTGCTTGGGAGTCCGATCACCTCAGTCTTCTAACCGACGAAATTTCGTCGGCCGTTGCAAGTGCTCTTTCCCACCTCTGCAATTTGAGCTGTTCTCTCCATGTGTTTCTGATTTTCTATGCATTATGGAGTTCGTTGATGTATTTGCCTGAATGTTCCTGGAGCCATGTCTGTTGGTGGCTTTCCAGCTTTCGGCTCCGTCGCACTAATATGTTGATACTGAGTGAGCCGGTTCGTATTCTTCTTCGATTCTGTCAATAGCGATATCCTCCTAAAGGCCTACTATTAGTTTGAATAAAAATCCTAATTCGTTATCATTTTGACTCTTCGTTTCTTGAATATTGCCACTTTCTCTTCCTTATTCAAGAAAGAGAATTTTACGCAAGGAAGACAATCGTCTTTCTGTAAAAATTTTTGAGACGACATTAGGTAATAAAAGCCGTTGATTTGCAATAGTCTTTTCACTTCTTTATAGCGCTCTTCATTGGGGAATTGCCACATCCAACAATGAGAGTGGGATGACGTCTAGTACTATGAGTTACCATGGATGATTTTGGTTATTAAGATAAACTTAGTCAGCTGCTTACCCAGTTCGTTGCACTCATAGGTTCCGATGTAAAATTTTTCACACATTCTCTTGAGTCCAGTTTTTGCGTTTCAGTTTCCAACAATGACCTTGAAGAAGACATGTGAACCCGTAATTGTGACCGTTCAGGTATTATCGTCTGTATAGAATTCCAGGTCCATATAGAACGCTTTGTATTCGTCGTTTCCATGCTTTGATGTTGGGGCTTTGATGCTTCACATCCCACCAAATGTATGTCTCCGACTGTGGCTGTTAATTATTGTAGAGTGGATGTTGATGGCCAAACTCGTGTAGACGAGAACTCCAGGACTGGTGCTACCGACTCTATTATCGCATGTTTCGAGGTATAGTTCTTTTCCGATAACAAAGACGGCATTGGCGTTAAATAGGCAGCGTCTTTCCTTCTCGACTAGTAAGACTACGTCGTTGCTAATCTTCTCAGTCTACACTATGAGGTTTTCAACTAAGAATGTAGATGGTAGTGATCACGTATTATACGAGTAGCACTTAGTTGTAGTCGTGGAGCACTGCCTTCCACCGATTCCTCACCACCACGCATATACTTTCCAGTTACCTACTTGCAGGCTTTTGATTGAATTATAGAATATTATCCTCTTATACGCGAAGTCGCCCACGCACATATATATGAAGTTATCTGCGTAGATACAGATGGTATATGACAAATTGATGCTTGAGGGAGTCATTTCTTTAGTCCACCAACGTCTCAGAGAAGTACGAAGTTGTTTTTGTCGGCGTTAAACGCCATATGAGCCACCTTAGGACACGGTAAGTAGCCTCACAACTAACGGCTGGGAATTCTTCAGTGTGAAACTATTAACAATTGAATAGATTGAGAGCAAAGCACGTTGCAAAATCCTCCCGAATTCTACACAGATTAGTAAGTCTACTCGCAAGAAACTGGTCAACTTCGTTGTGGATCTTTTCTCTCAATCTTGATGTAGAACTGACCTGACTCACTCGGTTTTCATCATTTTCAAAGCAATGCATTATTGCATTGCCTTGAATAAAAGAAACAAGATGTTGTACAAGCATTCGATGCGGCCTTTTACTATGGCACTAGTGGACAGACGGTCAGTGGACAGAAATGGACTCTAACGATGAGGGATAAGTCATTAATGGAAAAAGGTTTCGCTTTGAACAAAGTCGGAACCTCAGCCCTAAATAATACCTTTAGCGGTGAGGGTACTCGCAATTCGAAACCCAACTAAGGTTCCGAGTTTTGCTCATACCTCAGCATCCTTATAATTGTATTTCACGTAGCACTTTATGATGAAAATGAGTAAGCAGTTAATAAAAGTAAGGACATTGCTTAATACTTCTCTTTAGAAGATAAGCAATTATTTGTATATGATGAAATCGTCACTTGTGCCACTCGTCTTTATTGATACATTGTCCTAAGTGGACGCTCGTCAAATGTCTGCTTCCTATCGCGTGATAGAGTCGCCGGGTGAATTCAGCTTCCTTCAGAGACACCAGATCAACCCGTTTTTTTATTTCAGAGCTTGGTAAAAGAAAAATCTCGGCATTAGTTGATCTTCTTTACAGCACTTGACGTTTCGTCGAAAATAAGTGGCTGTTGTGTTGTTACACACCATTACGGGCCACCAGATTTTCTACATCTTTTCGTACACAGTTCGCTCCCTGATCTTGTGATATGTGTTGCTCTTCAAACCACTTCGATCACATGTTGGAAAACATTGGTGATTGTTCATCGTACTTACACTGCTTCCAGGTTTCCGTTGCATTGGTGAAGACGTGATGAGTCACGCAGTCAAAAAGGTACCTGTTTTTGTCTGTCCCCTTCATTACATCCTCAATATTCCTCAAGTTTTTCGTTTGTTCCTGGTCAGTAATGCCTACAAAGTGTTCACCATGTTGACTTCCTGATCCAGGTACACAACAGAATTCGGAGATGCATGTTACATTGAACGTAAATGCAGCATCATGAGCCAATTCGGTCACCATAGCAGTTTTTTTAAAGCAGATAGGTTTTTGCTCTCATACTTTAAAAGCAGACCAGCACTCGTTTTGGTATGACCAGTGTTTGGTGTTACCACAGCTATCAGCAGCACAAAAGTGGTATGGCTACTAGTGATCGTCCTTCACTCCCAAAATAGCACTGAATTTTTGGGTGCTGTAACCTTTTTGGCTCTTCTTTTTACGTTCTTTGATGTCGTTTCAGGGTGATAAAGTTCTGAATATGAAGCACTTGCAAGTTTTTGCTCGTTGAGCAGATACGCGCTGAATATTCGGTGCTTCCTTGGCCACTTCTGTTTCGATGTGGACGAAAGATTTTTAAATAAGTAAGAATGAAACAATGAGACATTTCATACTCGGGTGTTGCTACAGTGTTTCACTGTGCTGTGGAAGTGTATCATGTTGAACACTTTCCCAAACACTGCTCATTTGCATATCTCTCCATTATTCGTTGGTATCCATACTGCAATCTAATGGCATCAAAGATGAGTCGAATAAAGACTTTGCAAAGAATTTTCAACAAGCGAATTGGCCAGTACTTGCCGATTTCATGTATCTGTCGATCTTTGAACATCATCGTGGTCTTTCTGGTTTTCCGTTCAAGAGAAGTTATCTGATTTGACACCTACTTTGTTAACAATCTGACCTCTTCTTGGAGCATAACAAGAATTTGTTTCTGGTTTCCTTCGGGTTGACTGCTCTTCGTTGGTTTGTGCTTACTCTTTTAAATGTTTGCGAAACTTGCGGAACGGACAGAAAAATCATCCAGCTTGTATTCTTAGTCTCATATTCATTGAATTGTTGTTAAATTTTAACCCTTTTATTTACTGCCTTTTTCTTCTTAATGGCAGGGTATGTTGCGAAATATAATTCGTATGAAATGCTGAGATATTTGCAAAACTCCGGACCGCAGGTGTATGCAGTGGGGAACGAGTTTTGCAAATATCCCAGCATTTCATACGAGTTATATTTCGCAACATACCCTGCCATTAAGAAGAAAAGGGCAGTAAATAAAAGGGTTAAGATTGTGATGATAACTAAGCCTCAGCTTAACTGGGTTCAATGCCGCTGTGGGCTCCCCAGATCAATCCCGTTGACGGGTGATTGCTGATGGCAAAAAGATCGATAGAACTAGCTGAGAGACAGGTAAGACGAAGGACCCGGATGGTGTGGTGGTGAAGTGTGCTGCTCCCCGGTAAGGACAACAGCGCGTGTTCGTTCCCCACTGCATAAACCTGCGGTCCGGAGTTTTGCAAATATCTCAGCATTTCATACGTGTTGTTAAATTTGTTAGTCAATTCGGTGCCTTTTCTATGTCTGTGCAGGATAGCTACAGATATTACATGTGAAAACCGGACGAATTTTTGCCTATGCCTACACAGCCAAGTAGATTTTTTTTCTTGTTTCTGCTTTCTGTTCAGCATGCTCCTCCAATGCTGGGTTTTGATTGGTGAGTTTCGAGATTACGTGGTGCATCCTTGGGTGGAAGATAAGGGATAAAGCTCTCGGCGTTGGTCAATTCCTGACGTGCGCCATGTAGTCGACATCATTAAGCATCGTTGGAGGTGATTGAATGCATATTTCGTCTTTACAATAACTCGAGGTTGCCTACCGATGTGTCGAGCCAGTGCTGCTATCCTTCTAAATAAGTTTGGTACCAATTTGCGGACCCTGGATGGATGAAAGGATTGATGGACCATAGGCGCGGGGATCGATTCCACGTGTGTGTTGCAGGGCGTCTCCGACCACTGCGCCACACGCGCCACTGAATTGAAGACAGGGAGATAAAATGCGTAGCAGACCGACCGTGTAAGTGCCCAAAGTCGTCGGGAGATTCAGATTCTGAACTCCAATTTCTTTTTGCTACTCTGCTTTGTACCCTCTACATACGTTTTTTTACATTTCATGCATACCTACTTGAGTTTGCTTGTGTGTATGCAAATGGTTTCCTAAACGTCGATTGTTGTATAGACTTCTCCGAATTAATTTATAACATAACCTTCGTATACACTGCGTAGGTTAGGAGCAGAGACGAATGGAGCCTTTACAGATGTTTACTCCAATACCTAGTTTAAATAAGAGAAGAGACAGGTTATATAGATAATTTATCGGCGTGCTTATTTTTTTGTTGTGCGCCCCAAAAGCTCTTAAATTTGATACTTACTTCTGTAATATTTGCAAAACTCCGGACCGCAGGTGTATGCGGTGGGGAACGAACGCGCTTTGTCCTTTCCGGGGAGTAGCGCTTCACCACCACACCATGCGGGTCCTTCGTTTCGCCTTTCTCTCAGTTAGTTCTATCGATCTTTTGCCATCAGCAATCACCTGTCAACGGGATTGATCTGGGGGTCACAAATCGGCAACGAACCCAGTTAAGCTAAGGTCGCAGTTATAATCACAATTTTAACTTATTATTTACTGCCTACTCTTTTTAGCGCTCAAGTTATATGTCGCAATATATACCCTACCGCTAAAAACAGTAGGCAGTAAGTAATAAGTTAAAATTGTGACTAACTGCTGTTACAAGTATTTCACATTTAAATATATGTTAGTTCTTTGGGGATATTTGTGAGTTCTTATTCACTCCACTTTACGTTTATTGAACGTTGTTGCTTCATTTGTTTCAAAATGTGAGAAAAGAGATCTGTATTAAGCTTTCTAATGATATTTTTTAAGCCTATCTGGTGTTTCTGTACAGCATCTATAGCACTGCTATTCATTTAGGAAGCAAAGCGGCGACACTTCGGCCGTCCTCCGGATGATGTACAAGAGACTGCGGACACTTCTAGCAACTTACCCAACTTGTCCAGGTTTTTGGTAGCTTTTTATATAGGTTATTATTGTGGTGAAGTGATCAAATTCCTCTATTTAGCAACACAAGAATGGACAGCAGTGAACCGAATAGAGATTATGACGAAGTAGCTGACTTTCCTAGTAGAACTTGTGAGGTTAATAACAGCGGTACAACAAGGTACTAAACTATACATCTTCCTGTTTTTTCAAGCTCTTTTTGAATTGCCACTCTTTTTAGGAGATCTTTTGGTAATAAGACACGGTCGACATCCTCTATAGATGTAATGATTGATGGACGTGTATGCATTGATGATGTTTTGGAGTTGAAGGAACGAATGACGGAGAACGAAAATAAACTGAATTCAATTTCACATGCGAATATACAAATCATGAAGTATTTCCTCTTTGGTTGGTCATATTGTCCTTGTATTTGTAATCCTTCTTTTAAGGATTCTTACAAATCTCCAAAATTCTATGGAACATATGAAAGTTGAGAACACCTGTTTGAAAGACGAGGTTAGTGGTCAGACCACTTTAGGTAACTCTTCGCGATTCTCTGAGAGTTTTGTACTTTAAATCTGTAGATTATGCGTTTAACGGAGCAAACTACGTTGATGAGAAGGCTTTTATCACCGGGAACGACATCCCACATCTCTACCAATCACATGGTTGAACGAGCACATTCTGTTGGAGTCGAACGTGGAGACCGAATTGGTCGACCACCTATAGGTATTACCTTGAAATTGGGCACAGTGGCTAAATTTGTGCTTAATTAATGCTGCTGAAAATAGTACATTTCATCCAGATGTTGACTAGTCCTTCCATGCACAGAGTTCACAATTTTATTGCTCGGCTCATAGTTGCAAAGTCTAGAAGCGGTTTATTTGAAATCACTGAAAATTGTTCTTAGACAGTTTTAGTCTCCGGCTATCCTTTTCTGCAGAATCGGAATCCCGAATGATTAAACGACATGGAAGTATCGGTGGTACGACCTCGGGTTATTCTCGAATGGTTCCTACCGTGAGAATGGGAACAGATAATCATAGGTGCATTTTTGCTATGTTGTCAGTTATGACATTTAACATCTTTTTTAGCTTGTCTGACTTTAAAAGTTTGTTTTAAGAGACAATGATGAAACTCGTGACAACCCGCGGGACAAATTGCGCCCTCGTGATAGTTCGCGTGAGAAACTGCGTCCTCGTGATCGGAATCCTGATGCGAATGAATATGCTACCATCACAGCTGCCCCTCAATTCGTCGCATCTAAAGTTCAGGAAGCTTTCAGCGAACCGGGTATACGTTTTGCTGTTGCCTTCGTGATTATACTTTTTTCTTTGCGAGATATGTTACATTTAGTGTTCCCTGACAACTTTATTCGCCAAACGGAAAATCTCACAGTAGCCATCCGGTCACTCCTCACAGATGCACAGCATAATCAGCTTCATGGACGTTCTAGTCACTATGCTCATAAAGTAAGCACTGCTTATGACGTCCTTATATTGCAAATATTTGTGTATCGTCATTCTAGATAGCATCACTCGTCGACCAAATTATTTACGTGATTCCGCGTAAAGAGCGGGTAGGAAAAACCGAGGAAGCTATATCAGCGCTCATGGAGGCAACTATGGTAAGAGTTTAGAACCCTTATTTCCACAAATTTCTTATAACATTCCGAAACATCTTGTTATTATCAGTTTTGTGTGGAACTTATCCATTTTCTATATTTGCTCGGGTTTTCTGTCGCTTCCCTCATTTTTCCTTTCCTGCGATAATTGGAAATGTGCCGTGTTTATAATGGTGGCAGGTAAAGATAAATGCAGTGACACGCGCTAAGCAGTAGTTCGCTATGCAGATGAGTTTGTCACAATCACAATGGGAATCACAATGGCTAGACCAGCAGAACTCCGAAAAAGCGGGATTTATGCTGGGTCCCGCACAACCAGTGAAGACGGGCCATCCAAGTATCCAAGTAAGTGTTAATGGTATTAGGAACTATTTTGATGCGTTAAGGGTCATATTTTATGTTAACAAATTTCAGTGAACTTTTTTTAGAAACGTTGTACTTAGGATCGATTATATAGTCTAGTTTTCTTTTTTTATGTTGATCTTCGGATGAACGTCTTTTTGAGAAAATTTGCTATTCTTCTAGTAAAGGGTAAAACCTTTCTATATGTTAAATAAATATTGTATCATAGTTGGCAGTTGTCCTTGGTTCTCGAACAACGGCTTATTAGGGTGGCTCGTTCATTTTTCCAACAAGGTAACTAAGCTGAGAATGAGTTAAAATTTGTTTCCGAAGCCCATCTAAAAACGAATCTCCACTTCAGCAAAGCTGTGAGCTGCGCATAGTCTGTTATAGCTTAGAGAAATTAAAACCATATAAGAAGTGCGATATTCTTCGTGTCTGTTAAAGTAGGCTCTACTGAATAGTGCTACATATAAAACCCAATTTCACTTTAAGGGCAAGTGAAATTGAGCGAAAGTTCGCTTTCTTGGCAATATTATTCCTCTTTCTCTCTTAATTTTTCAGTCGTAGACTGTCAAGAAGCTTTTGAAACAATGTTTCATCTCAGTTCCATCAAATGAACCTACGCACCTAGTTAGCCTGCCTTCTCGGATAATCGTACAGATCTAAGAACAGTTTCCATTTGACTGGTGTGTTCCGGGTTAGGTAAGGTTTTCATCCCTTTGAGTCTTGGGACTTCTGAGCTAGGGTTTTCCTAAGTCGTCACGACAGGCCCTCACTGTCCGTTATGGATCGGAGAATTTGCCACCTTGTTAGTACTATAGTTTCCGACCAGGTCAGTGATTTGTGGCATTTATTTGATGTTCGCTGGAGTGCTGGGTCGAGATATCGAACTCCCTAGCTTGAGAGACGCTGCTGTGCCGTTCTGGAAATAAAATCACCTTACTGTCTGTACAGTGTGTGAAAAGTAAGAAATTGGTTATATAGCGCTACTGTTTTCTTTCTGGTTGGAGAAGATGCATTTTAATTAAATAATCACAGTCTTGTTATAGTTCATCTTAGAATCAATTAGACCAGCTATTAACAAAACACCGTGTGTAACTATTTATTTATTGCCCGTTATTTTTTTCCTAATAGAAGGCTGTTACGTGAGATATAACCAAAATGATGCTGAGATACTTGCAAAACCCACACGCCATGCCAGATTCGAGTCCCCGATTATTCTTTTCAGGACCTCACGAGTTACCCATTGCACCATTGACATCCTTGCTTTCCCTTTCTCTCGGTCAGTTTTTTACCTTAACGGCGTCATCACTAATCCAACCTGGTGTATGAGTTTTGCAAATATCTCGGCATAGTTGCGAGTGTATAGGTGAAGTGTTCAGATGATGTTCCTAAAACCGACTTTCTAGTAACGTTGGCATTGATGAATAATTCGCTGTTTTCTTCATAAGCGCACACGGGGTTGTTACTACACTCTTTTTTCACAAAAGCTGACACTACAGCGGATTTCGCCTTCTTCAGAACTTGGAAAGGTCAAGTTGACTGCTGTGTAATCGGCCAAAACTTACACAATTCCAATAGGAAAGTCACGAAACCTGGATTTCATTCGCACGGTAGCCAATATAGCTGCCTCGCACACACCACTTTCTATCAAGGTTCCACTGAGTATTCCACGTCGAGATCGACCGCACAGAGTTTACATGGATGGGTTGTGCGCTTCTCGCATTAAAATATCACTCTGAGATAATGTATAAGATCATGAGTGATAGTGAAGCATTCTTCCCTTCTGTTCATTTTTGTAGCGGGATTTACGCAAAATACTTCGAGAGTTTCGCGCGAGTTTTCTAGAAAGCAACGAATTAGTCAAGTGACATCCTTCATAGTTTTCATATTTGTGTGCTAGAACGAATTTACCGCTGTTAGAGGTCAACGTGGGGCTTCATATGACCCTTTGGGTAGATTATGTAGTCATGCCTCCAGTACTAGAGGTGAATGCTAACCTATATTCGATATTATTTGAGCTGTAAAGCATTGGCTACTATTTTTTCTGCCTCTCATGTTGTTGTTTAAAGAATGGGACAGCATATGTAAAGTTATTGACTTGGTGCAGAAATAATTGCGATTTTTACATTGTTGAAACTTCCCTTATGATACTAGAGTAAAGAAGGATAAATGGCAAAGTGACATTGATCAATTCTTGAAGGATGCGACATGTATTTGACTTTATCAAACATCGTTGAGGTTGCGTATCTGGGCCATACAATAACTTGCGGTGACCGGTCGATGCATCAAATCAGTGCTGCTATCTTCCTCCAGTACCATTTTGCAGACCTCTTAGGGGTAAAATGCTTAGTGAGTCTTGGGCTCGACTTGGGATGGGACGAGCGATCGATCCGGAGTGTATTCAATGCCATCCCTGACCATTATCTGCGCCCCTTGATGTTAGAATGCATTTGTGAATAAGTGCAGTTAGTCTATGAATAATTTTTTATGAACATCTCTCGTTTTATCTCTCCTTGTTAATGGCTTACTACTTTCTGTTTACTTCAGTATTTTGAACTAAGCAGGAATGATGGCAGACAAAACACTTCGATCGATTTTTTTATTGGTGTTCGAAATAGGTGGTAAGGCAGCGAACAAAACTCGCATCAACTCATTTGACCCAGTAACACTGCAGAATCCGCATTATAGTGCTGGTACAGATTTTGCAATAGATACAGGAAACTTGGATATGTAGAGTGCAGTGGTTGACCATCGGAAGTTGAGAACAACCAATTTGGGGCAATTATCGGAGCTGATCCTCTTACAACGGAGGAATCCAATGTCGTCCACTTTATGGTCACAGGGTAATTCGTGCAAATTAGAAAGCTGAGAAGATCCATAATTGAGTTCCTTATGAGTTTGCCCAAAATCAAGACAGCATTTTTTTTTGAAGTCTGCTCTTCGCTTCTTTAACGAGACAAAAGACGATGCATTTCCCTATAAGGTTATGGCTCACGATGGAAAACGAATGTTTTACGGCAGCCGAGAGTACCGTAATTTTTGGATCGAGGTGAGGTTCATAAACACTTCGCAAAGCCCAACATCCACCAGAGAAGGTTATAGTTACCTTTTGTAATATATAATATGTAATATAATATGTTTGCCAAGAATATATATATATATATATTCTTGGCAAACAGAAAAGTTGCAGTACACCTGTACGACAACACTCAGTCACACGTTGCACTACTAACGTTACAGAGGGTGAGACTAGGATATGAAGTCCTCTCACCCATAATGATCAACAGGCTTCTCAGTTGCCGTCTAGTGCTTTTTCAATCACCTTTAGAACGAACTGCAAAGAGTAGTTCTTTTTTGGTTGGTAAAATTATTTTAGAGTAGGTGCAGCGCTGTAGTTAGGAGGTGTCGTGCAATAAACACGTGGTCACTGATTGGATCCCGCTCTCAGAGTTCACCAAGACTTTCATCCCTATGGTGTCGGTGGCGGCATATTTTTGTTGCAGACTAGCAGCACCGACGTCGGTAGTTCAGCGGAAAATATTGTATAGGCCAGATATGCGTTCATACTCCTTTAATTATGCTTGGTGAAACCAAACACATGGCGTATCCTTCAGTGATTGATCAATGCCGGAAAATTTATCCCTTTATCTCTTATTCTTAAATTTATTTGAGCTTACTGGTAGTGGTTTAAACGCTATGAACTAAACCCTCAAATATTTTTCACTTTGCTAATACATTCTTGTTCTCGGTTTCTTAGGATAGATAACGGACAGTGTAACCTAATGTTGTCCTAGTGAATGGTGTTCTCATAATCTAGATCTTAAAGACAAACGCCGTGTAAACTGAAGCAATGGCAAGATTGAAAGTGGATTATTGTGTCAATACGATCTTAAGACAGTGAACGGTACGCATATGTGCTAAATACGAATAGTTGGTTGTGGGCTCATACGTCGTTTTTAATGCTTTGAAAGCATCAAATAAAATCCTGAAATGTTATACCTTTTTATTTTCTGCCTACTATAATTTCGCGGCAGGGTACTAAGCGAAATACAACCACAACGTTGCTGAGATATTTGCAAAACTCTGGACCGCAGGTGTCTATGGTTCTATGCCGATTTGGGCGCCCCAGATCAATCCTGCTGACGGGTGATTGCTGTGGCAAAGATCGGTAGAAATAGCTGAGAGACAGGCGAAACAAAGGACCCGCATGGTGTGGTGGTGAACGCGTTACTCCCCGGAAAGGACAATAGCTCGTTCGTTCCCCACCATAGACACCTGCGGTCCAGAGCTTTGCAAATATCTCAGCAACTTTCCATAGCATTCGACGGCGACGAATTCGGCTTCGCTACCATTTCAAAGAGGCTTTTGTAGCAGCGTTTGAAAAGGCAAAGAAATCAATGCCCATTCGAGTTTATCTGGAAGGATAATCTTGTTTGTTTATTTTTGTTTAGCGGGTAAGTGGAAACGATACTGGGAGATTAAGATTTGCCTCTTTCTCAGCTTGCGATAAAGTATTAACATAAGCACCTACTGAAGTTAAAGAGTTTGTGGCTAACACATAGAAATTCGAATTACTGGACCGAACCGTGCTACTACTTTGTCACAAGCTGAGATAGAAGACAAAAAATCTAAGTCGCAAAGCCAAAAAATCGCATGTGGGCAAATGA